AAGAAAAGTTTATAATTTTGATTAAAGATTAATAAAGCAAAAATAAAAGGATACAAGAAACTTGTTTCAGGACATAAATATTATTAAAGTTATGATGAATAAAAACTTAATAATATTCAAAGTAACAATGTTGTGTATATTAGATACTAAAAAAAGATACTTGAAGAAATAAGTAAAAACATTAATTCTTGATCTTATATATTAATCTCAGAAACGATAAATAAACGATAAATAAATTAAAAATCTATTTAATTATGCTATAAATGTACTTTTATACTGTATAATTTACTTTTATAATTGTAATATTATTTAGTTAATTTATTTAAATTATAAAATAAATACTTACTTTATGTGTTGTAAATTTAAAAAAATAAAATCTTTTTATATATTTGGATAATTTTAAATAATATTTCTTAAAAATCTTTTTATATTTTATTCATAAAAAAATTTTAATTATATTACTACAATTTTTAACATTTAATATGACAATTTATGTTTTAATTGGCATAAATAACAAACTGCAAATAATTATGGAAAAGTATTTTTTAATAAAAAATAACAATGTGTGAAATTCCATTTTAGATCAATTTTAATATTATCTGCATTATTCAATAAAGAAATTCATATTATGTATATTTTTAATATGTTATTAGCGCTATTGCAACATATACAATGCACTATTGGTTATACGTACGTATAACCATTTATAGTAGAAAAATACAAGTTGTTTTGTATCCGGCTTCTATAGTATCTAATTTCAGATAACTTGTTATAACTTCAGACAAAGATTAAGACAAAGAAGATGTTTTAACATGGCAATCGTGACATGATCATAAACATATTTCTCTCTTAAATCAACATATAATAGCATCATAAAAACATTACATTTAACAAAAATTTAACTATTATTATTTATATTGTTTTAATATTTTCAATTAAATAGATATTAAAGTTCTTTTTATTGTTATTTCTTTTTTAATTATAATTTTTTATATATAAAAAATATTTTACAAAATATAGTATGAAATGTAATAATTTATGAAAAGAAAAATTTAATATTTGTTTAATGAAAAATGTAATATATATAATTATTAAAATAATAAACTCAAATACAAACTTATTTAAAATTGTGTTTTATCAAAATTTTTTAATTTAATTTTACTTTTTTCTTTATAGAAATGTCAATTCTTAATTTAATTAAAATTAAAAATACGCTTTGTAAAATATTATAAGTGTTACAGAAAATGTATTCCATAATGTAAGAAATTTAAAATGTCGCGCGCAGCAAGTTTACAGCGATGCACGCACAGTACCAATGACACCTGTGTCTCCGATGATAGAAGCAAGATACAAGTTCCCAAATTAATGATTCTCCCTGACAATTAAACGTTTATTCATCTCGAGCGATATGTCATACTTGTTGACCTACGTTTATCATTTTTCAATGCGTTAACAAGATCTTTTATGTATATGTATATATACTTGTATTTTATAACCTACGATACTTTCTTTTTGTTTAATTAAATAGTGCTAAAGAGAAAATGTCATCTTCTCATACGACGGAGTTAACTGAGCAATTGGTTAAAGACTATGCGAATTATGCAAAAGTGAACTGGGATAATCAGGCAAGTCAGCACGCTATTTATATCTATCTTGATACTGTGGCAATAAAAATTCTGCTTTTTGGGGAGTTATTAAATAATTCGTGCCTTTATTTCAGATGAAAAGTGTCCGCGATATCATAGAGGATACTTTAATACGGCTGGAGGAATTTCAATCGATTGTTGCAATGGTTAGTTGAAAACTTAGAATATAAACAATTCATAGGTATATGTACTTTAAATCTTTTTGTGTTACAAGGTGGAAAATAGCAACGCCGAATGTATGCAGCAGCATCTTCCAAAGTTACAGCACATGAAGGATGGTATGGCAACTCTTCGTAAGCGGATAGATTCATTAGAGCATGTTGTTGCAATGGCCAATATGAATTTAAGTACATTAGAAGCTGCCGTAGACAAGGCAGAAGCTGATTTAGGAGTATCAGATAGATTATTTGGAATATTAAATCCTTTGTCATTTTTTGTAAGTATAATTTTTTCTAAAAGGATACATTTTTAATGTATTCTTCATAAGTTATTTAATAATTAGATTATATTATGTACTTTATGTAATTGTCTAAAATTATTATGCAACATTCTTAACCAACTTGAATTTATTTTCTTTTTAACATTTCAGAAGAAAACTCAAGAACCTGTTGCGTCAAGCGTAGTGCCAATATATAAATCGCCAATAATTTATAGATCTGATGACTATTTTCAAAGAGAATAAAATATATATATATATATATATATATATATATACACACGTAAGAAAAAGTA